CCTATGGAGCCACAAAAGACTCCAAACAGCCAAAGCATCACTGAATAATTAACAAAGCTGGAGGTATCACATTATGGAGCTTCAAATACACTACAAAAGCACAGTAGCCAAGACAGCATGGTACTAGCATGAAAGCAGACACACAGAAGAATGAGACAGAATACAAAACCTAGATATAGATCCACATATTTACAGTCAGCTCACTTTTGAGAAAGGTGCCAAAAAAATATATATGAGAGAAAAGACAGTCTCTTCAAAAACTAGTGCTGCATTTGCTAGTATCCATATGCAGAAGAAAGAACTAACCCCTATCTCTCACCATATATAAAAATAAACTCTTGATGAATTAAAGGCTAAAATGTAAAACCTGAAACTATAAAGCTACTAGGAGAAAACATAGGAAAAATGCTTCAGGACATTGGACTAGGCAATAATTTTTTTAAATATATGATTTCAAAACCACAGACAACAAAAGCAGAAACGGATACATGTGATTATATCAAACTGAAAAGCTTTTGCACAGCAAAGGAAATAATTAACAGAGTGAAGAGGTAACTTACAGAATGGGAGAAAATATTTGCAAACTATACATCTGACTAGATATTCATATAAGGAACTCAAACAGCTCAAGAGTGAAAAACCCAAATAATCAAATCACAAAAGGGAAGATAGATTTCTTTCTTTTTTTTTTTTTTTTTTTTTTTTTGAGACAGAGTCTCGCTCTGTCACCCAGGCTGGAGTGCAATGGCACAATCTCAGCTCACTGCAACGTCGGCCTCCTGGGTTCAAGTGATTCTCCTGCCTCAGCCTCCTGAGTAACTGATTACAGGCACCCGCCACCATGCCCAACTAATTTCTATATTTTTAGTAGAGACAGGGTTTCACCAGGTTGGCCAGGCTGGTCTCTAACTCCTGACCTCAGGTGATCCATCCAGCCTCCCAAAGTGCTGGGAATACAGGCATGAACCACCGTGCCCGGCCAGGATGATAGACCTTATAGACATTTCTCAAAAGAAAACATACAAATGAACAACAGACATATAAAAACTGTTCAATATCACTAGTCATCAGGGAAATGCAAATAAAAACTACAATTAGATAAAACATTACTCAAGTTAAAATTGCTATTATCAAAAAGACAAAAGATAACAATTGTTGTTGATGTGGAGAAAAGGAACACTTGCACACCACTGGTGGGATTTTAAATTAGTATGTTCATTATGAAAAACAGTATGGAGATTTCTCAAAAAATTAAAAATGAAACTACCATAGATCCAGCAAAGTACTGAGTATATCCAAAGGGAAGAAAATCAACATATTCAAGAGATCTGCACTCCTATGTTTATTTCAGTACTATTCAAAATAGCTTAGATATGGAATCAACCAAGTGTTTAACAAATTAATGAAAAGGAAATATGATGTATATACAAAATAGAATATTATTCAGTAATAAAAAGAGTGAAATCCTATTATTTGCAACAACATGGATGAACTTAGAAGACACTGTGTTAAGTACGTTAAACCATACATGATCTCACCCATAGGTAGAATCCAATAAATGTATCTCATAGAGGTAGAGAACCTAGAGGACATTATGTTAAGTAAATTAATCCAGACACAGAAATACAGATACCACATGATCTCACCCATATACGGAATCCAAAAAGTTTATCTGGTAGAAGTAGAGAAGTAGGGGTTACCAGAGAGTGCTGAAGCTGGGGACAGGGTCGAGGGAGGAATGGAGAAATGGTGTCCTATTGCATAGCAGAGTGACTGTAGTTAACAAGAATGTATAGTATATTTCAGAATAGCTAGAAGAGAGGATTTTGAATGTTCTCACCACAAAGACACGACAAGTATTTGAGGTGATGGAAATGATCTTCACACAATGTATACATGTATCACGACATCACATTGTACCACATAAATACGTACAGTTATTATGTGGAAATTAAAATTCTTTTAAAAAGCTGATCTCATAGAAGTAGAAAGTGGAACAGTGGTTACTAGAGGCGGTAAGGGTAGAGGGATTGCGGGGGATGAGGAGAGGTTGTTCAGGCACAAAATTACATTTAAATGGCAACAATAAGTTCCAGTCTTCCGCTGCACAGTAGGGTAACTATAATTACCAATTACATATTACATATCTCAAAATAGCTAGAAAGGAGGATTTTGAATGTTCTCACCTTAAAGAAATGATTGTTTTAGGTGATACCTTAATTTGATCATTACATATTGTATACATATATCAAAACACCATTTTGTACTGTAAATATGAACAATTATTACATCAATACAAAGTAAAATAAAACTTAAAAAATTGAACACAAATAAAGAAAATATATTCTATGTTCAAGAATTGGAACAATTAGCACTGTTAAAATGTTCATACTACCCAAAGCTATCTACAGATTCAACACAATCTCTCTCAAGATTCTGTCACTTTTCACAGATAAAGAAAAAAGCAATCCTTAAATTCATATGGAACCACAAAATAAACGGCCAGAGCAATCTTGAGCAAAAGTAACAAAGTTGGAGCCCCTATACTCTGATTTCAAAATATAAAGTGATTATAATTAAAACATCCTGGGGGCTGGCACAAAAGCAGACACATGACTCAATGGAACAGTATGGAAAGTTTAGAAATACACCCATGTGTTTATGAACAACTGATTTTTGAAAAAGGTGCCAAGAACACAGGATGAAGAAAGGACAGTCTCTTCAACAAATGATATTGAAACAAGTGGATATCCACATGCACACGTATGAAACTGAACCCTTATCTCACACCATGTACAAAAATGAACTCAAATTAGATTAAAAAGTTAAATGTAAGACCTGCAACTATAAAACTACTAGAAGAAAACATATGGCAAAGCTCCATGATGCTGATCTTGGCAATAATATTTTTGAATATGACATAAAAAGCATAGACAACAAAAGCAAAAATAGGCAAATGGGATTACATCAAACTAAAAAGCTTCTGTGTAGCAAAGAAAACAGTTAACAAGGTGAAGGACAGCCCACAGAGTGAGAGAAAATATTTGCAAACCAAACAGCTGACAGGGGATTAATATACAAAATATATAAGAAATTCAAACAGCTCAATAGCAAGAAAACAAATAACCCGATCTTAAAAATGGGCAAAGACCTAAACAAACACTTCTCAAAATAATATTTAAGTGGACAACAGGGAGGGTGTATGCTTGCGTTAACTCTCTTCTTCCACCTAGTTGCACTCCTGAGAGCAAGATGGGCCACCAGCAGCTGTACTGGAGCCACCCGTGAAAATTCGGTCAGGGTCCTTCTCTTCTCGAGTCTGCTCAAACCGGCACGGTCTGATCCGGAAATACGGCCTCAATATGTGCTGGAAGTGTTTCCATCAGTACGCAAAGGATATAGGTTTCATTAAGATGGACTAAGTGATCTTCCTTGAATGGATTATCCAAGGCATCTACGCAATGAAAAACCACGATAGCTCTTTGCACATAAACATTAATAAATAAATAAATGGACAACAGGTACATGAAGAAATGCTCAGCATCGCTAATCATTGTGGAAATGCAAATTAAACCACAATGAGATATCACCTTACACCTCTTTGAATGACTGTTATCAAAAAGATTAAAGATAAGAGTTGGCAAGGATGCTGAGGAAAGGAACTCTTGTACATTATTGGTGGGAATGTAAATTAGTATGGCCATTATGGAAAACAGTATGGAGTTTTCTCAAAAAACTAAAAATAGAACTGCTCCATGATTCAGCAGTCCTACTTGTGGGAATATATGAAAATGCACTGTAATCAATATGTTGAATGAATAGCTGTATTACTCACAATTGCTAAATTCAATCTAAGTGTCCATCATCAGATGAATGGGTAAAGAAAATGTGATCTATAAATACAATGGAATATAATATTTAGCCTTTAAAAAAAGGATGGACATTTTGTCGTTTGTAATTCCGAGGATAAACCTGAAGGACATTATGCTAAGTGAAATAAGCCAAGCTCAGAGAGATGAATCTCTCGTGATCTGATATATGTCAAAGCTAAAAAAGCTAAACTCAACAATAGAGAGTAGAATGTTACCAGAGGCTGGGGCAGAGGGCTAGAGAGAATGGGGAGTTGTTGGTCAAAGGGTGCAAAGATTGAGATAGACAAGAGGAATATGTTTTGAAGTCTATTGAACTACAGGGTGACTGTAGTCAATAATAACATATTGTATATTTCAGAATAACAGAAATAATAAAATTTAAGTGTCTCATCCTAAAAATGATAAGTAAGGGAGATGATGGATGTATTAATTAGCTTGATTTAATCACCCCACATTGTAGGCATGTATCAAAGAGTCACACTGTGCCCGTTAACATGTATGAGGTTTGTCAGTTTAAATAATAGTAAAAGGAGGGAAGAGATATTTTTTCAGACAAGAAGATGCAAATATTTTAAGGTATCAGTTCTCTCTGAATTGATTTATAGATTCAGTGCAATTCCATTCAAAATCTCAGCAGAATTTTCTTAGAACTTGACAAGTCAATACAAAAATTTATGTTGCAGAGCAAATGGCCACGACTGCCAAGGCACAACTAAATAAGAAGTGAGGAAAATTAGCCTAGTTTATACCAAAACATATCCTGGAACTGTGGTGATTAAGCCACTCAAAATTATTGGCACAAGTAAACAAATGGCACAGAGCAGAGAGCCAGAAACAAATCCAACCTAAACAGAAAGCTTACTGGGTCAGAGGTGACGGTGTGTGTATTAGTGTGGAAAGGAAGGTCCATTCAGTAAATGTTGGCACAGTTGTTATCTGTTGAGAAGAAAATTAAATAGAACCACTACTGCATGTTATAACAAAAATAAAATCAAAGTGTTAAACCTATGGGAGAATTTATAGAAACCTATTTCTTCCATTTTCAGGAACAAAGTGAGTCCTTAAAGAAGAATTGAATTGTGTCCTTTGTTCACCGATAACTAAAATGTCTGTGGGATTGTTTTTCAGATACCTTTTTCCAGCCTGTATCATGGCACCTGGCTACCAAAGTACTGGGAGTACTCTGCTGTGGCCTATTTTTGGGCATTGTTGGACTGAAGATTTTCTTCTCCAAATTCCAGGGTAAGCGAGAGGGAGAAGCATGGGCCGGCGACTTATTCATCGTTCCAGCAGGGACAGGATCAGAGATGCTCCCACATCCCAGCTGCTTCTCTTCCTCTAGTCCTAGCCTCCAGGGGCCCAGGCCCAAAAAAGTAATCACCCTTCTGTAGGGTATTCGAACAACTCTTCCTCTGCAAATATCAACTACGACAGGCCCTTGCTACTTCATTTAGGCCAAATAATAAGAGGATGAATGATTTTCAGTACCTACAGAGCTTGGATAATTTTCCATGAACACCACCAAGACTCCTATTAAAAAGTTTTAATGTGGCGAACAAATTCATAAAGGAAGAAGTCAAAGTGACTGACAATAAGATAAAATTATATTCAGTCTCAATAAGACTTTTCGCCCCCAAAACCAATTTCTTCCTCCATGGGAGTGACACTTCCCCCCGGGGATGAGGCCGCCCCCGCCTCCCCTCCCAGCTGCCTTCTCCCATCTCCATCCCCCCGCCTCCCCTCCCAGCCGCCTTCTCCCATCTCCATCTCCACCTCCACAGCATCCCAGCTGTTGTCCCTCTCCTTAGCATGAACCTTCCTGATCTCTTGCTCCCCGCAGACAGCTACGCTCCGTGCAGGGGCTGCGGAGACGAGCACATGTAAGTGTTCTAGGAGAGGCCCTGCCCTTCACACCTGCAGCTTGTCTCACCTGTGCAAGCAGCCAGGGTCATGTTTGTACCTTGCACATTCCTGTGTCCACCACTGAATATACTTTTTCTGTTTCAGGGAAAATCCAGGCAGAATTGGGTAAGTGTGTGTCACGTCCTGAGCCTCCCACACATGGTTCTCCCGGGTCCCTCCCTGATCCACAGCGTGAGCCTCTGGAGACCCTGGCTCCAGGCTGGACAGGAAGTACCGGCAGGTGCAGGAGAGCAGCTGCCGCGCTCTCTCCATCCACTGCTAATGAGTTGCCCCTCAGATATCTGGAGGGCTTAGGATAGGCCTCAGGGCCTGGAAGTCCCGTCTGTGCCTGTTGCCCGTTGGTCCGTTCTGTGTGTGGTGGGGGGAGGTGTTGATCACGAGCTCTGAGGGTGTGTGGACCACAGGGAGGAACCTGAGAAAAATTGGTGGGTGATCCTCAACCGCCCTGGCCTGATGCTTTGAGACTTTACCCAGTCCTGTATCAACCACTAAATCGTCTGCTTTTTGTTTCGTGGAAACTGCAGGATAAACTGGGTGAGAGTGTTATCACATGCAGGGCTTTCCTGCCACGCTCTCCTTGGGCCCTGCTCTGTGATGTCAGCCTCTTCTGTGTGTTTTGTTTTTGTTCTTGTTTTTCAGACTGGAGAAGACAGCACAGACAGGCAGGTAAAAGAAAATATTCCTCTTCCCACATTTATGACTCCTTTCCAAGTCTCTCGTTTATGGATTTTTATATCCTGAGGCCCATGGGTCCCTGCAGAGCCAAGCTTGTGATGGGAACTCTGAAACTGCAGATTCTGGGGGAGGTGCATTTTGTAGAGAAGCCCCACAGCCTTCCTCAGATCTCTGGAGGGCCCACAACACTCAAAAAAGGTCCCAATCCTTGGTCTCTCCCTTCTCCCTGAGCCCTGTTTCCCAGCTGAGCACTGAACTGCCTGCTCTGTCTGCTTGCTTTCAGAATTGAGAGATGCCCGGAAATACGCAGGTACCAATGCCTGGTCGGGTGACAGTGGGACAGAATCTCAGGTGGACATGAGAGGGCGAGCTGAAGAGGGACAGATACGGGAACACAGAGTGATGCTGAGACCCATCCTGCCTGCAGATGGAGAAACTGGAATGCTTGATAGCTCCCAAGAGTGCAGTGCCCCCAGAGACACTTCTTCCCCTGGGTCTAGAAGGGGAGAAGACAAGGGCTGGGTAAACGGGAGATAGGGGGAGTCTTTGGCACAGTTTCAGGGAATTGAGGGCACTAGTGACTGGTTGGGGTCTGAGCTGGGGGAAGGAAGTGAAGTCAGGAAGAAAATTCTGAGTAGGAGGAAGTTAGATAGTAGGGTCCCTCCAGCTCTTATGAAACAAATAGTTTTATGTGTGAAGGGACAGTGGCAGGGTTGGGTGATATGCCGAGATTGGGACGTCATATTGGGACATTTCTAGACATTGATGGGTCCTCCAGGCTGCACTGGTGATGAGAGAATCTGAAAGGCAGTGTCTGAGGGAGGCTCAGGTCCGGGGCCTCACCTATGCCACCCGGAGCCAGTCTGCAGTGGGAGGGTCAACCTCTTGTTCCAGCCCAGATTTCCTCTTCAGTAACTCAGGCTTCCTCTCTCCCCCACCGCACCCCAGTGGAGGTGACGCTGGACCCAGAGACGGCTCACCCACAGCTCTGCGTTTCTGATCTGAAAACTGTAACCCATAGAAAAGCTCCCCAGGATATGCCTCGCTCTGAGAAGAGATTTATAAGGAAGAGTGTGGTGGCTTCTCAGAATTTCCAAGCAGGGAGACATTACTGGGAGGTGGACGTGGGACACAATCAAAGGTGGTACGTGGGAGTGTGCCGGGATGACGTGAACAGGAGGAAGAAGAATGTGACTTTGTCTCCCAATCATGGGTACTGGGTCCTCGGACTGAATGCAGAAAATTTGTATTTCACGTCAAATCCCCATTTTATCAGCCTCTTCCCCAGGACCCCTCCGACACAAATAGGGGTCTTCCTGGACTATGAGTGCGGCACTGTCTCCTTCTTCAACATAAATGACCAGTCCCTCATTTATACCCTGACATGTCGGTTTGAAGGTTTATTGAGGCCCTACATTGAGTATCCCTCCCATAATGAGCAAAATGGGACTCCCATAGTCATCTGCCCAGTCACCCAGGAATCGGAGAGAAAGGTCTCTTGGCAAAGCGCCTCTGCAATCCCAGAGACAAGCAACAGCGAGTTCTCCTCCCAGGCAACCACGCCCTTCCTCCCCGGGAGTGATGCGTAGGACGAATCATACCTCACATTCTTCTTTAGGATACTAAGGTTTCTCTCCCAGACCCGAGGTCCCACAGCGGCCAGCCAAGGTGGCTCCCAGATGAAGGGGGACTGGCCTGTCCATATGGGAGCCAGGGGTCATGGCTGCCCTGAGTGGGGAGGGAAGAAGGCTGACATTAGATTTAGTTTGCTCTCACTCCATCCAGCTAAGTGATCTTGAAATAGTCACCACCTCTCAGGTGAGGAACAATCAGGAATTCCCATCTCACAGGCTGTGGTGCAGATTAAGTAGACAATGAATGTGAATCATGCTTAGATCTTGTTGATGACAGACTGTATCCTAATGGCTTGTTGATTATATTACACTTTCAATAAGGTCTTTGCTTGTTTCTTTCACATGAATTTATTGTTCCGTACTTCAAATCACCCATGAAACAGGCACCTGCTCTGTGCCAGAGCCAAGGAATTATAGGGAAGGGGGCACTTCCATTTCATTCTATAGAGCCCACATTACCTTCATACCAAAACCAGACAAGGACATTACAAGAAAAGACAGGAAAACTACATGTCCATATCCCCCATGAACTTAGACACAAATATTCTAATTAAACTTTTAGCAAACTGAATCCAGCAATACATTCCAAGAATAAGACATCACTACCAAATGTGGTTTTTCTCATATGTGGCTTAATATTCAGATATCAACCAGTATAATTAACCACATCAACAAACTGAAAAAGAAAACGATACAATCATTTTGACAGATGCAGGAAAAATTACACCTGTGAGCAAAGAAGCGACACAGATGACAAGCCACGAAAAGACGCTCCACATCACTGACGGGCCCACGAAAAGACGCTCCACGTCACTGGCAGGCCCACGAAAAGATGCTCAACATCATAGTAATTGAGAAAACTCAAAACAATAACGAGATACCATTCCTACCTATTGGAGTGGTAATACAATTACATGGAATGATCATACCCAGTGTTGGCCAGAATGTGCAGAAACGGAGACTCACACCCTGCTGATAGGAATGTAAATGGGTGTAAAAATGTAAAAACGATTTTGGAAAACTAGCAGTTTCTTTAAAAGTAAACAGTCACCTAATGTATGGTCCAACCATCCCACTCTTAAGTATTTGCCAAGAGAAAAGGAACTGCATGTCTTGACAAAGCCTCGTGCATCAATATTCACAGAACCTCATTCCTAATAGTTGAAAGGTGGAGACAGCCCGGATACTAACAACAGATGAGCAGATAAGCGAACCGTGGTGCATCCACGCATCAGGCGCACCGTGACAATCAAAAATGAACTCTTCAGAAGGGCAGTGAAGGGTCGTCACACAGCTGCTGTGGGTGCAGGAGGTGGTGGACTCTGTGGTGAAGAGTCTGGACAGAGAATACCCAGTAGATCCAGGTGAGCAGCCTGAGACTCAGCCAAGGCGTGGCCAAGGCGAAAGACCAGAAAGGCAAAGGCTCCCGGCCTCCCAGGTGGCCTCATGTTCCGCTGCAGTGCCAGCTGTTGTGAGGACAGTCAGGCATCCACGCAGCAGGTGCAGCAGTGCACTGAGCACTGCCAAGCGCCTCTGACTCAAGCCTAGGCCTTGGTGACCAGCGAGCTGGAGACGTTCCGGGACCACCTGGCCCGGTGCCTCCTGCGTTGCTGTGACAAAGCTGAAGATTCAAGCAGGGAGTAAGGAGCTTCAGGTGAAGCAACAACTGGACGGCTGAGTGACCAAGTGTGTGGATGGCCACATACACCTCATCCCGACTATGAGCAAGGAAATGAAGGAGTCTCTCTTATCCTCTGGGAAATAAAAGTCTTTGCCAGTGGCCCTTTTAAGAGGCTTTGTTTTTTAGTTTGTTGTTTTTCCAGTTTATGTATAAAGTGCTCTTCAGCTTTGGGGTAATCATTTTTGGTTTGGTAAACACAGTAATTGAAACTTGCCTAAATGTTAATTTTTAGAGGACTCTGAGGAAACCAGATTGGCCATGGATAGATGGTGATGAAGTGAGAAACACTTCAGCAAAGGATGGAACAAATTAGTGACTGACTTATTACCCATCCTAGCAAAAACAGCCACTTAGCTAAGAGTCTAAGCTCTCCTCTCAAATCTAGAATGTCTTGGTGGGAAGGTGGGAGATAAGGAACTTATAAATAACTAAATCAAGTGGGATTTTGAGTTTACTTGTCGGAGCAATCCAAGAAGGTCTGATGGGCTTCCTTTGGCGGGTAACCGCGCTCTTCTCTCTGGCTGCCTAACATTTTTTCATTTTCAACCTGTGAATCCTGACACCATGTGTCTGGGGATTGCCTTTCGATGTATATCTTGTGGTGTTCTCTAAATTTCTGAATAATCAACGTTGGCCTGCCTTGCTAGGTTGGGGAAGTTCTTCTGAATAATATCCTGAAGAGTGTTTTCCAACTTGGTTCCATTCTCCCCGTCACTTTCTGGTATACCAATCAAACATGGTATTTGGTCTTTCACATAGTCCTACATTTCTTGGATGCTTTGTTCATTTCTTTTCACTCTTTTTTCTCTGATCTTTTCTTCTTGCTTTATTTCATTAATTTGATTTTCAATCACTGATATCCTTTCTTCCACTTGATCGAATTGGCTACTGAAGCTTGCAGTATGTCACAAAGTTCTTTGCATATGTTTTTCAGCGCTCCATCAGGTCATTTAAGGTCTTCTCTACACTGGCTATTCTAGTTGGGGCTATTCATCTAACCTTTTTCAAGGTTTTTAGCTCTTTGCGATGGGTTAGGACATGCCCTTTAGCTCAGAGAAGCTTGTTATTACCGACCTTCTGAAGCCTACTTCTGTCAACTTATCAAACTCATTCTCCATCCAGTTTTGTTCTCTTGCTGGTGAGGGAGCTGATCCTTTGAGGAGAAGAGAGATGCCTGGCTTTGGAATTTTCCACTTTTTCTGCTCTGGTTTCTCTCATCTTGTGGTTTTATCTACCTCTTTTGGTCTTTGATGCTGGTGACCTGCAGATGGGGCTTTGGTGTGGATGTCCTTTTTGTTGATGTTGACACTTATTCCTTTCTTGCTTCTTAGTTTTCTCTAGCACCCTCAGCTTGGGATCTGTTTGAGCTCATGGAGGTCCACTCCACACCCGTTTTAAGTCGGGTATCACTAGCAGAGGCTGTAGAACACAAATATTGCTGCCTGATTCTTCCTCTGGAAGCCATCCCAAAGGGTACTGCCTGCTTGAGGTGTCTGTTAGCCTCTCTGGGAGGTGTCTCCCAGTCAGGCTACACGGCAGTCAGGGACCTGCTTGAGGAGGCAGTCTGGTTCTGCTTGTTCTTGGAGCTCAAACACCGGGCAGGCTGGAGAGAACCACTGCTCTCTTCAGAGCTGTCAGACAGGCATGTTTAAGCCCGCAGCAGCTGCCTACTGCCTTGTCTCTGCTATGCCCTGCCCCCAGAGGTGAATCTAGAGAGGAAGTAGGGCGCTAGTTGAGCTTTCTGGTCTCACTTCAGTCTAAGCTTCCTGTTGGATGACATGGTGGAACCACCAAGCCTCAGCAATGGCAGACACCTCTCCCCAGTCAAGCTGCAGCATTGCAGTTTGATCTCAGACTGCTGGCTGGCAGTGAGCAAGGCTCTGTGGATGTGGGACCCACCAAGTCAGGCATGGGAGGGTATCTCCTGGTCTGACAAGATAATGGAAAAGTGCACATTTGCTTAGGGAGTGTTCCGTTTCTCCAGGTATAGTCTGTTGCGGCTTCCTTTGACAGAAAGGAAATCCTCTGCCCCTTGTGCTTCCCAGGTGAGGCAGCCCTGCCCTACTTCAGCTCACCCTCTGTGGGCTGCAAATTCTACTGTCCAACCAGTCCCAATGAGATGAACCAGGTACCCCTAGCGTTGGAATGCAGAATCACCCGTCAGTACTTGATCTCACTGGAAGCTGCAGACTGGAGTGCCGTTCCATTCTGCCATCTTAGGCAACCTACGGTATCTAGTTGTTTGTTTTTTTGTTTTTTTGCTTTTTTGTTTTTTTTTTTTGAGTAGGAGTCTCTGCTGTCTGGCTAGAGTGCAGTGGCATGATCTTGGCTCACTGCAATCTCTACCTCCCAGGTTCAAGCGATTCTCCCGCCTCAGCCTCCCGAGTAGCTGGGATTACAGGCATGCACCACCACGCCCAGTTAATTTTTATATTTTTTAATAGATGGGTTTTACCATGTTTGGTCAGTCTGGTCTTGAACTCCTGGCTTCATGATCTGCCCGCCTCGGCCTCACAAAGTGCTGGGATTACAGGCGTGAGCCACTGCTCCTGGCCAGAATTTTGCTTTTATATGATAATTGTTGGGTAAGTTTGTTTATTTGTTTGCTTGTTTTGTGAAGGAGTCTCGCTCTGTCACTCCAGGCTGCAAAATGCAGCAGGCAACCTTGGCTCACTGCAGCTTCTGCCTCCTGGGTTCAGGTGATTCTCCTGCCTCAGCCTCCTGAGTAGCTGGGACTACAGGCACACACCATTACCCCTAATTTTTGTATTTTTAGTAGAGACTGGATTTCACCTTGTTGGCCAGGCTGGTCTCGAACCTGACCAAGCATCTGGGTCTGGGCCGGCCTCCCAAAGGTTTACAGGTGTGAGCCACTGCACCTGCTTTTCATTAAGAGTTTTTAAATCAAGAATGGACATGGAACTTTGTCAAGTACTTTTCTGTGTCAATTGAGATAATCATGTGGTTTTCTGTTTTTCATGCTGTTCATGTGATGTATTACATTGATTATGTTAAACCAGCCTTTCATGCCAGGATAAATCCACTTGGTCATGACATCTACTCTTTTTGATGTGTCGTTGAATTTGGTTTGCTAATATTTGACTGAGGGAGTTTTACATTACATGAGTTATTGGCCCATAAAGTTGTTTGTTTTTGTTTTTTTCTTGGCCTAAAGACATCTATTGTGGTGTCTTTTCTTGCTGAAGTTATGAAAATGATGCTGGCCTTGTAAAGTCTGTTTGTAAATATTCTCCCAGCCCATTTTCTGGGAGAGTTAAGTATTGCACACTCTTTGAATGTTTGATAAATCTTAGTCATAAAGCCATCTGGTACTCAAGCTTTGTTTTTGCTAGGGGTTTCAATTACTCTTCAGTGTCTTTATTTATTATTATGATAGCTTGTTCAGTTTCTATTTCTTCCTAATTATTCTCTTGTGTTACTGTTTTATAGTAGTTTATTAACTTTTGCGTTATAATTTGTTGGCAGATGCTTCATAATTGTTTATGATGATACTGTTTATTTTGAGGTATGTATTGTATGGTCTCCACTAACATTTGATTTTATTTATTCCAGTCTTGTTCTTTTTTTTCTATCTATCTGGGAATTGATATTATTTATTTTTCAAGGCTGGGCATGGTG